CATCTCCTGAGGATCCAGGATTTGGGGGTTCTCAATCGGTGGAGATGGATCAGAATTTGGCTGAGCAGCCGGGATTGGGTGGACAATGGATGTGGATGCCCTAGATGGGCGTCGTAGATCGGCAATAATTTCTTCCTGTGCAGCCATCCTTTGATTTGCAGTATCCATGGTTCTCTAAAATGCTGCCATCATAGTAACAACTTCTTCTGTGTTCTGTGCCATCACTGACCCGGGTGAGTTAGGTATTGGTGAACTGAATGGGTGTGAACGAACAGGTGTTTGCCGAGCGTTCTGTACTGGTGTTATTGACTGTCTATTCCTTCTTCGTTGAGTAACTGGTGGAAGTGAGACTAACACTGACTGATTGTCAACAAGATCCTAGATTTTGCAAAGTTTACCAGAATGAGTCCACACAACTTGGGGGATATCGGGTTTTTCTGAAGCTATGATGATGAATTACCTTATAAAAGCAAGAAAGAAAGCATAAGCAAAATCGGAGAGCACTTTGGCCCCAATTTTCGACAATGACAACACGCAGCTGAACTGTGATCCCTACTGAACTTTGTTCTCAAATTGACTACTCATTTATACCACTGATATGAACCACCCTGTACAGTTTCACTGTAAATGCATATACCACGTAAAAAGAACCAAAACACCCCTCTGAGGGGGTAGGGTTACCTTGTCCTAGATTTTGACATGATCTAGGTTGCACTATTTCAAGCAAGTGGTTTCATAACATCCTGTACGGGTAGCACCCTGTCCTAATTTGAATGGTCACTAGAGCGTACTATATGCATTAGGTCAAATAGTCACAAAGGGTACCTCAGCAAGACTACCTAATATACCTCTCACACCTAACACCGAAAAGTGAAAGGAGGATCAAGTGGTACAGTGGTAATCTAGATCCAAGGGTTGTATTCCCAACTTGACAGAGCCCATGACCGGTCAGCCTTTTGGCAAGCTTTGTAGGCAAGCCTCCGGCAAACCATCCAGGAATAACATATGGCAAACACAGGGACTTAGGCGCACCAATGCAAATGCAATGCAAAGAACATATATATATAGATAAAATTTCACATCATGAAATTTGAGTCAAGTTCTCTAAATCTCCAACAGAGTCCCCAAAAACTGTAGCTCAGCTTTTCGCGCTCCCTTTCGGAAGAATGAATAGACCTTGCAGTTTGAACCCCACTTGTGTGTTGGTTTTGATTCTAATTTCACAAGTGCAATGTGAAACAGTGAAAACAAAAAAAGAGTCCAAATTCGACAATTTCTTTTGGAAAATTGATATTTGAATCAAATGTCAAAAAATAGACTGCTTTGCCAGATATCAGAGTCGCCACCTAAATATTTATTTTGGAAAATTTAGAAAACCCATGACTCGTGCCAAAGGCTATTAGTCCGTCGTTACCAAAGTGTCTTGGTTCGGGAACTTAGGTATGAGAGGGCAAGGTCAATAATTGAACACCCCACTCACCCGATCAAAGATCGGCCTTTATTAATCATGATGTGATTTTTATGTACAGTATATGTTCTTATTCTGATTATTTAATAAATCCTAAAATTTATTATGTGAAGCATACAAGGTATAGACTAGTTTTCTCAAATTGGAACAATTCAATTTCATGTTTGTTTCTCAAAAAGGGTTTGAATATGCCACCTCAGGTGGGCTTAATTTGTCATTTAACAAAGTGGGCTTAAAACATTCATTCGTTAAATCATTTCAATTCAAGCAACAAGCCTTCATCCATATGCATTCAAACAGTTTATCATTTAAGCAATTAGCCTCATGGTAGCATGCTAAACATAATAAGAAAATTATGTACAAGCGGGAACAACTCACATATTTACCGACGTCCCGCAAACAAGCTACAAAACAAAGTTAGAAAATATGCATGATTCCTAACTGTACAATATGACAAATGTAACACATGTGATATGCAATTACTAGGCTCGGCTACTAATATGGCATATGAAATGATTTGATCGTATGCGGTCTAAGCATCTATTCAAAGAAGTATTTAAACGACAATACGAATTAGAATGATGCGCCGAGCCTTGGTGCATGCAATACAAGTGGATGCAAACATGAGTATGCTAAATTAAACATGATGTCCCTAATCTAACCATCATAAGTTGGTAAATAAAAGGGAGAAAGACGTGGGGTTAGAAGACATACACATTATTACAAGTTTGTTTGCCCTCGCGCAGGAGGGTCCGAATGTCCAAGTGTCTGAACAAATAATTATTACAAATCCGAATGAATAATAAATGAAAGGGGCTGTCTAATTTATTACAATAATTAATGTAAGGCAAGCCTTGACACAATAAATTCGGTATAACGTCCGACCGAATTCAATTAATCATATTGGTTCTTTATGTCGGTTGTAATCCAATTTTAACCAATTTTATTAGCCTTTTTTATTACCTGTCTATTTCTTTATCTTTTCTCCTGTTTGTGCAAAAGTGATATTTATGTCCACTAAGTCCAAAATGCAATAAAGAGAAACAAACATCAACTTAACCCGAGAAAATTTTCTTCGGGGGAAATTACAAAGGAAGGGTCAAACTTATTTACAAGTGATAAGGGATTCCAAGTAAAACTCAAGATGTGCAACAAGGACTAGTCAAACTCAAAAGAGTGATAATGACTTAGAAAAACCCAAACTTGAGTGATAATGACTTGAAATGTAAACTTGATAATAAGTGATAATGACACTTTCCTTGGTGATTTTCAAGGGTCAATTAATCCCTTAAAAGTAAACACACTGATGAATAAAGAGAAATGAAAAATAAAAGGTTGTGCTTTAGTATAAGAACATGTATACATTTGGGGTAGTGAACCTCCAAAGAATTTAAACCATTAAGTATAGAACGTTTTATACTTTTGGTAGTAAATCCCCTAAGAGATTAAATCAGTAAGTATAGAACGTTGTATACTTTTGGTAATGAACCTCTTAAGCATAAAATGTTTTATGCCTTTGGTAGTGAATCTGCAAAGAGATTAAACCATTAAGCATAGAACGTTTTATACCTTTGATAATGAACCTCCTAAGCATAAAACGTTTTATGCCTTTGGTAGTGAATTTTCAAAGAGATTAAACCATTAAATATAGAGCATTTTATACCTTTGGTAATGAACCTCCGAAGAGATTAAACCATTAACCATGGAAGAGTTCCTTTCTTATACTTGAACCACAATCTTAATTTTTTTCACAACTTTTTAATCGAAATAAGTAAAGAATGGAGGGAGGTTGCAGAGATGATTATGTAAAATTGATTAATTGGTTAGTACAAGCAAACTTGATATTTAAAACATAAATTATTGAAATAAATTAAACAGCCTCTTAAATAGCATACAATAGTGCTGAAATTAAGCTATAGAAAACGAGCAAAATTAAACAGCTGGAGGTACTATTCACCGCCGGAGGTTACTATTCACCGCCGAAGGTATTCATCTTCGGGGTTACTATTCATCCAGCGGGGTAAATTATTTAAAGTAATAAATTACAACAGTTTATATACAATATTTAAATTACAGCAGATATGTGGCAACATAGTTAAAATTAAATGAAAGTTTGCAAAAATTCACCTTTCGAGGAAATGATGAATTTTCTAATTTACAAACTTTCTTTTGATTACCCTCAAGTCTGTGTAATGTGTTCTCAATTCTCAGTCCAAAATTTAGAATTACAGCTTTAGTGGTTGGTTTATGAATGGTGTATTGATGAAATGAAAATAAAAGTTTGGTTCAAAAAAAGAAAATATCGAAAAAAATATTTTATTTTCCCTCTCTCTCTAAAAACAACTAATTTTCGTTCTTTCTGATTCTTTTTTTCTCAAACTCTCTCGCACCACTTTATTTTTCTCTCTGATTAGCCCCCCTCATTTTCTTTGCTAAGCCTCTCCCTCTTTGTCCTTATATAAACAAAAAAGTATAATATAATAATGTAAATATAATAATATAGATATTATATAAAGATATCTTATATATATGTTATGCTAATAGCTTTGGATGTCGGCAGCCGAGGGCTCACCGACATCAAAATAATTTTTTATTATGTTTCTTTTATAATATATATATAATACAATATATATAATATCTAAAATATATAATTGATACCAAAATACTAAACATATAATATAATAATATAACCTTTTATTATTTTATTTTATATATTAATAAAATATATAATTTATACCAATTTATATAAAAAAAAAAAACACCAAAAATATGAACAAACACATAAAATTATGTAAAATTATAAAAATACTAAACTAATGAAATATTTAGTATTTTACAACAATTTGGCCATAATGGTGATGGTTGGGATTAAAGTTCAAATTCCATCTCTCTTACTGAGGATTATGTGAGAAACACATTCTAATCGTCATCATCGGGTAATCAAAAGAAAGCGCCCAAGTCTTAGGGCCAGTCAAAATGGGGTGTCTACACCATATTGTTTTTAAAAATAATTAAATATATATATTTTTACTTTTAGCGACTAAATTATTTAGTAGCCAATTGAGCACGTATGTTTGGCGACTAAATTTTTAGTAGCCAAAAGTTTCACCTTTTGAGAATTGGCGACTAAACATTTAGTAGCCCAAAGTTTCTTTTTTACAATTGCCGACTAAAAGTTTAGTAGTCAAAAGTTTTACTTTTTCACAATTGGCGACTGAAATTTTGGTAGCCAAAAACCAACCTGTGATATTTGTTTGGTCGCCAAAAGATCTCATTTAGTTTTTATAATTTATTTTGTAATATTTTTTGCGCCACCTGAAACCTGTGCATATACAAAATTATTTATTCATTCATTCAATTCTCAACCATTCAATAAAAATATTTCTCCACAACCTGTAGTATTCAATTTCCAACCATATACAAAATTTAACTATTAAAAGCCATTCGAATGTCATATTTTAACAAAATTGTCATGACCCAATCTCGGCAAGGCAACCCCTGCCAAGAGGGCGCACTTCAACACTATAACACCTGTACACAATAATCACCTGTATAATTCTTATATCACATCACCAATAGTGCATAAGACCCTTCGATTGGCCAACATATATGAGATGATCCATTCAAAGACAAAAATATCATCATGCTACTAAGATAGTTTCCATGCACCACTACTCTCAAAATAAAACATACTATTCGTGAATCCATCAATACATCCAACTTCACAAAGCAAATATTTACAATCTACCTACTTCATAAAACAAAGGATAAAACTACATCCTAGAGTGACCCTAAGCAAAACCTCAACTACCAGATGTTCACATTTGATCTTCTAGAAACTCTAATCTTCCAAGTTGAGGCGAGCCACACAAAAGTCTAGGAATCTAAAGAAAAAAAAAATATTTTAAAAAAAGAATGAGCTAGAGCTTAATGAGTATATCAATCCCATGGAGTTATAAAGCTTGCTCCTTCCAATTGGGTTCAAAATAAGATAATAAAAACAAGAGCTTAATTGGACTTAAATTTATAAAAATTGAGAAAATTTTGCATAAACTGTTGTCAAGACTTTTCCAAAGAATCTCATAATACAGAAAAACACATTTGAAGAAGGAAAGTAAACAAAAATATAACTTTTCAATACATTAAGATTTCATGTCCATCATACGAACCACTACATAGCCTTAGGGTCGCGTTACCTCGCGACTTAGGTGGTAACGGTACCGTGACCCAAAACATAACCATAGAAACATAACTCATGTCATCGTAGCACTTCAATTCTCATTTCAATGTTTCGGTCCTTAGGACCCCTTATGTACAATGACCCTTATGGTCCTTAAAATATTTTGGTCCCCAGGACCCCAAAGCATTTCGGCGCTTATGGCCCCAAAGACTATATTCGGTTATATGATCAATAAAAATAAATACTCTCGCATGACGTTTCATTGTCATTTAATCATCATCATCATAAACTTTGAAGGACTCAACTTAAATAAATTTTCATAAAAATTAGTGCTTCATTATACAAATGAAATCATATATTTATTTAAACTCAACATTTGACCTCAATAAATTTATAGATTTTCTTCTTATACATATACCATGATGAAATGTGTTACTTCCTTTAATTCAAAAATATTTTCAAACTTTTTATTAAAGATAGAGATAAGATAAATTTTCATGATAAGTATATTCACCTCCAAAATAGCAAAAGCGTAGATTTGAAACTCTACGATTTAATTACCCAGAGGTGTAGAGACGTCTTTCTCCAATCCTAACAATTAGTAAATAGGATCTAAAATTAAGGAAAAGCTTTCAATGAAAATTACAACATCTACAAAATTGATCCTAAAAAGACATGCTATGGAATGACAAGCTAAAGAACTCCTCCAACTTTAAGTCACCCAAACAAACTTCTTATCCAATCTCCACAACGCCTATCCTTTGTACATTTTTGAGTTATTAACCTTTTTAAATATCCAACCAATTTATATGCACAATACCACCATCAATTAAACCACAAAAGTCAAAAATCAACATTTTCATAAACTCAACAACTTAGGTAAATCACTTCAATCATTAATAAAATTCCTCCAAAATCGTTTATAGAACATAGAGATACCCAATCCACCATTTATCAAATCAATTTCAACATATAAATTTCCTGACACCAAAATCTCCAATTTTTACATCACATTCAAACCTAGATTAACCCAAATCTCAATCTCCAAAACAACCATCAAATTGATCATTAAACTAATAATTTCATGAACTCATGATTTTTATAACTTTTTCTTCAAAATCATTTATATACTCCATTGCATGCATCCAATCTTCAAACATTTCTTGTTGCATGTAATTCACAGAACTCAATTTAAGAATGATTCTCAAAATTGAACCCAAATTTAACAAATTTAAGGAATCATAACTCATATTCTTCAATCTAACTTGATTTTTTATGCAAAACCCAATTCATATCAATTTATATAATCAATCTTCAAATCTTCATTTTTAATCCTCTCAAAATTCACCTTGAACCAATTTTTGTTTAGATTATTGAGAGGGTAATTTTGGTGAAAATTGGGCCGAACTATGAGATGGACTTTATGGCCCAAAAGTACAAAGGACTGGGTAAAAAGGCCGAAAAGTTACTCCAGCCCAAGAGAGATAAAGTTACTCCGGCCCAAGAGAGAGATAAAGTTACTCCGGCTCAAGAATTGTAAAGTCACTCCGGTCCGGAAACGACTTGGAGTTAGGCCGGTCTCAGGAGTAGTTCGGTCATGATGAATTGTGGATAGAACGGACAAAACTTTGCTACTCAGTAGCTCGGTCTAAATACAACATGAGTTGAACAGGAGAGAACTGAGATAAGGAGGATTGAAAGGAAGAACCGAACTAAGGATAGTTCGACCGACTCTGTGACTTAGCGTAGCCAGTTTTATTTCGGTCATGTGGTAGTTTGGCCATGGTAAAAACCATCCCACTTGGTTGAAACAGTGGGGGGGTGTTAAAGGATAAGCATTATCCTATAGGAGTATGAATCCTAGGAGGACTCTACATGGAGGAGTAGAAGTCCTACTAGGATTGTGCCACTCGAAACCTATAAAAGCTCACAAACATCACCTTTGGGGGGGTAACACACAACTTTGCTTTCTGATTATACAGAGCTTTGTCTATTTGTCAAGTTTGCTGACTTAGGCATCGGAGGGGTTTCCAGCACACACCCGCCGGCTAGCTCACGTTTGTGTTTTCAGGTGACAAAGCGTCGTCATACGGAGGAGCATAGATTTAGTCAACAGGATTATACGAGAAGATTTATTTCTTTCCCGTACAATTGGCGCCGTCTGTGGGAATTACAGACAGAACAAAACCTCTTGATTAAAGCTTCTCCCCTTTGCAATCAATGGCACACATTGAAGAATTGCCGCAGTCCGCCGTCGACGGGCTAACTCCAGACGGAGGAGCAAGGCGTGAAGGATTACCTTCTGTCCCTCCCATGGCGGACTTGGAGTCCCAACGACATAACCCCAGGAGAGATACTAGGGGAAGGCGAACTCACAGCCCCCGTCAATCTCGGTCGCAAAGTCCTGACAGGCAAAGACGGAGGATTGACCCTCAAGCTCTGGAAGATCGCGTGAAGGAGCAAGATGAATTAATAAGAAAGATGGCGGCAGACATTGAGGCCTTGAAGCGCCAAATGAAGAAAAAAGAAGTGGCGACAGGAGAGGGGGGCAAAAACAAGACGCCCCCTCGCCACTCAGAAAATCGTAGCAGAAATACCACACCCTCGCAAGGAGAGAGTAGAAGTCTCAGGACAGGCGATACTCAATCCTGGTCTTCCAGAACTAGTCACTCCAGGTCTGAGAGGACGAGATCTAAAAGGTCATACACTGAAGGAAGCACATATTGGCCCTCACATTCGCATCAAACCAGATCCAGACAAATGGAGTTACCCAGATCATCCGACTTACGAACCGTGCTCGAAGAAAAAGCACGATGCAAGGAGGATGCTAGGGCACGGGATCCACACAGAATTTCTGCCTTACAGCGGTTGGCTCCTCGGACGCATGGAAGCGTTGAGGTTGGAATGCCAATACCGCGCCCTGCCTATGAACCAACGGACAAAGCACTAGCAAGGCTGCAGACTTCGCCGTTTGTTCCAGCAATTGAAAACGCGCCCCTACCATCAGGCTTCCTTTAGCCGAAATTCACTACATATGAAGGGAAGACGGACCCGTACTCACATTTAAGCCACTTCCGCCAAGTCATGGCCGTTTACAGGCGAAACGAGGCCTTAATGTGCATACTCTTCCCGTCTAGCCTTGGCGACCTAGGCTTGACTTGGTTCGAGAAACTTCCTGAGGGCAGCATAGCCTCCTGGGCACAGTTGGCAGAAGCGTTCGTAACAAGGTTCCGAACAAACACTAAAACCCCGGTAGAGATCGACCAGCTACTCTCCATCGACATGGGCGATAAAGAGACCCTAAGATCTTACAATAGTCGCTACTGGTAGACATTCAATCAGATTGGGGACTGCCCCACCAATCTCGCCATTGCGCAGTATAAAAGAGGCCTTCCAGTCGGAAACAGACTAAGGGACTCAATCACCATGACGCTACCCCTCACCATGGAAGCCCTAATGGAAAGAGTGCATCAGCACATCAGGGTAGAAGAGGATGGCGCACGTGCAAAGCAAAATCTGGTGCGACCGCAGTACCAGAAAAGAAGACCTCAGCAAAGGACAATACAGTAGATCGATAGAACAGAAACGGACGTGGCAGGCGAGATAACGGAGAAGACCCGGATAAAAGATGGTTGAGAATCCGCACTGCCATAACCACGGTGTTCAAGAAACCGATATATCGGATTCTGAGCGAAATAAGAGATGAGCCTTTCGTCAAGTGGCCAGCCAAGCTAGGAGAAGCTCAGAAGGACTATGACGAAAGGTCACGGTGCACCTTCCACAAAAAAAAGGGGCATCGCACTGAAAACTGCACACCATTGAGACAACACCTGGAGGAGTTAGTGGCGGCAGGACACTTGGATAAATACATTGAAGGAGGGACGCAGCCAGCCCCCCAGGACCATAATAACCACCCTAACGGAATGCCAATTGACGCCCCGCCTCAAGGCATTATCAATGTGATACATGGAGTTTTTGAACCCGAGCGTGTATGCGAGCTCAGGGGATCAATCAAAAAGGCTGAGCACTTTAGAGAGGTGTTAAGTGCCCAACCTACTATCAAGAAGGGGAAGACAGAGGCAACAAACGTCATGTCTTTTTCAGATAAGGACTTGGATCGAATATACTGTCCTCACAATGATGCCCTAGTCGTCACTCTCCGAGTCAAGGATTTTGACGTCAAGCGGATTCTGATTGACCAAGGTAGTTCATGTGAAATCATGTACTACGAAACATTCAAACAACTAAAGCTACAAGACAAAGACTTGGCGCCTGTTGTATCACCCCTAATTGGGTTCAACTTTATGCCAGAATGGCCCGTCGGAAATAATTCTTCCAGTTAGGGCAGGGAGCGTGACGAAACAAGTGGAGTTCTAGGTATTGAAGGTCCCCTCCACTTACAACATCATCTTGGGCAGAACATGGCTGCATGCCATGCGATCGGTGGCGTCATCCTACCACCAAGTCATGCGGTTTCCCAACGACACCGGAGTAATTGAAGAAGTCTATGGAGATCAGATCATGTCAAAGCAATGCTTCGTCACAGTAAATGGCAGCCGCGCTGTCAGAGGATATGTTCATTCAATGGAAGAACCAGAGAGTAATGAGCTATTCGCAGATGTCGGCAAAGCGGCAGATCAAAAAGCAGTGGAGGACTTGGTAGAGGTAAAAATAGATGAAAAGAACCCGGATAAGTTCTTTTTGCTAGGTTCGTCGTTGTCCAACACTGAGAGATTAGAGGTCCTGGAATTTTTAACCTCTAACATCGAAGTGTTCGCCTGGACACTCTACGACATGCCAGGCATTGATCCAAACTTCATCTGTCACCAACTCAATGTCCACCCATCCGCCAGGCCAGTCATTCAGCGCACTCGCAGATCGGCACTCCACCACGCTGAGATAGTGGCGGAAGAAGTAGGTAACCTGCTGGAGGCAGGAGCAATTAGGGAGGTGCACTACCCAAAATGGATCTCCAACACAGTCGTGGTGCCAAAGAAGAATGGCAAATGGCGTGTCTGCGTCGACTACAAAACAGTCAACAAGGCGTGCCCAAAAGATAGCTTTCCTCTTCCACGAATAGATCAACTGGTGGACCTAACGGCAGGGCACAACCGACTTAGCTTTCTGGATGCATACAGAGGCTACCACCAAATCGCCATGCATGAGCCAGACCAGGAGGTCACATCTTTTACAACTCCAAGAGGACTATACTGTTACAAGGTCATGCCCTTTGGCCTGAAGAACGCAGGGGCAACATTCCAACGAATGGTCACCAAGATGTTTGAACCATTGTTAGGTAGAACAATGGAGGCTTACATCGACGACATGGTGGTCAAAAGCAAGGATGAGAATGACCATCTTAAGGACCTAGGCGAGATGTTTGAGATCCATGGGCGATAAAGAGACCCTCAGATTGTACAATAGTCGCTACTAGGAGACATTCAATCAGATTGGGGACTGCCC